TCGCGACCTTGACGAGCTGACAACGGCGGCCGAAGTCTGTGAAGCTGTAAGCAGGGAACTGAAATCACCTGTTGAGCTAGCAAGTGTTGTATTCGTACGGAGGGCTTACAGAGGCACACAAACTGCAGTGGTTCGTCTACCGACGGAACTAGCCAGGAGGGCATTGAGGAGCGGCCGTGTTCGCATTGGGTGGGTAAAACTGCCGCGTTAGAGAGAAAGTAATTGTGCGGAAGTGTTATCGTTGTTGGGCGTTCGGACATCTGGCGCGCGACTGCCAAGGGACGGACAGGTCGAAATCCTGTCACCCGATGCGGAGAAGACGGCCACTTGCGTCAGGCTTGCAAAAGCGCTGAGGCGAGGTGTGTGCTCTGCAAAGATAAGAGGAACCACCCGACGGGAGTTTCACGTGTCCGGCGTACCAAGTAGCAATGAAGGCAACGGATAACAGAAAATGAGAGTTCTCCAGCTAAATTTAAATCATTGCGAGGCGGCCCAGGACCTTCTCACCCAGACGGTGCCGAGATGAATATTAGATGTTGCAATACTCTGCGAGCAGTACAGAAATATTGTCGGTCTTCAGTCCTGGTTTCAGATGCGATTAACCGAGCTGCAGTATGGATATGTGGTAATAGTCCAGTCCAGGATGTTATGCAAGTCCCAAGGAATGTGTGTGTGTGTGGTTTGTACGTTTGTACGTTTGTACGTTTGTACGTTTGTACGTTTGTACGTTTGTACGTTTGTACGTTTGTACGTTTGTACGTTGTACGTTTGTGTGTGTTACGACGGGAGAGGAGAGAACAGGGATGAGGAAGGAAAAACAATGCGTGGTCAATTTATTAAGGTATTCTTCCGATATTAGCATGGTATTTATCGACGAAACCGCGGAACTTGGGAAAAGAACAGTCGAGACAGTTGTGATAGAATCCAACCTACCTACGTACGTGCCGTTGCTGAAAGTTCCTCACCGTTGGGCCTCGAACCCTCGGACCTCCCGGTGAACAATTCTGCAAAGGCAACAACGTTGCTACTGAACTTCAGCATCCTGTGAATATGATGCGAGCAATATGAGATAATTGTTTGGTATAAATTGAGAAATGCTCCAAGAAACTTACCATTCCGGGGGTCACGGTTGACAAGGTTTCCCCCTTTTACTAAATCCCCACCGCTTAGTTGGCTCAGGGCATCAACGCATGTCATTACAGAGCCCCGTTCGTAGGTCCGTGAGTTCGAATCCCGGCCGTGTGGCAGGATTTTCAATACTAGCTAGATTCTTGGTCGGGTTCAGCCGCTGTCTGTAGGAAAATTCTAGCGACCGGCTGCTCAGATCACTAGTTTTACGAGGTTTCTCCCATCAACACCAGGTGAATGTCGTAGCAAACGGGCCGCGGCCCGCGCATGACCTTTCCGTCCTCTTTCTTGATGTGTCCTTACCCCTTACTTACACACGTCCCAATACTAGTCGGGAGCTTAGAGCTTGTCTCGGCTGAGGCGATTCCACTTCTGGAGGCAGATACCCGGATGGGAAAAATCTCACAAGCTGCCGGATAGGACAGCGACGAATATCACAATCCAGGGCAAGGATGATCTGAGTACCCTCCGGCGATAAAAACATTCACTGCACTTATGGGACTAACGGCGTAGCGGTTGACTGAACTATCGCATCTTGTGAATATAATGCGATCAATATGAGTTAATTGTTTCGTGTAAATTGACAATAACCTTCGAGGGAACATGAGGGCCTGCCGCTCCCCCTAAATCCTCCGGGCCATTTCCATCACGGTCGCACCTTGCCTGCAGCCAGCACGCGCCACAAGGGGCGTCGCGCCGGCTGCGGCCGCTGGAAGGGCCGGCGCGAGGAGGATTAAGTTGTTCCTGGCCTACGGAAACTAGGCCTATAAACCCGCCCGGCCGTCGACGTAAACGGCCATATTTCTGCTCGGCCGCGAGCCGCGACGCCTGGCTGCGTTTTCTGAGGCGAGGGTTGGGCGTCATCTGAGCGAGCGCGGCGCGCAAGAGGCATAAAAACGGTCGAGATACGGAATCGTTATTTGTTGAAGCGAGGTGAGATTTATGTTGTATTAGAAATATGCAAAATACTCGTAGAAACTGTTACCTTATTTTCGTTTTCAACGTATTTGTATGGATAAATTTTGACACAGCGCATTAAAAAACGTAGTTAAAACATTATATTTCAAATACGTCCCTGCACAATAAAAAACGCCTTTATAACTCAAATGTAAAAATATTTGAGTTCCTCATTTTATTCTAGGCCTGCGAGATTAGATTTAAGTATTGCTAGAAATGTCTGAAAGAGGAAATGTCGATATTATATTATTTTAGTTTCCAGTGATGTGGATGGGCAAACTTAAGCGCAACAAACAAGTGTGTCACAGTTTAACTTAAATATTTTGAGGTAATATCGTTACATTGTTTAAGAAATGACTCGATTGTTGATTAATAAATATATGAGATGTATTAGTAGTTATTGGCTCTTTGTTTAGACTAGAAGAAAATGACGTCAATTATTCAGCTCTACTCTTGAAAGGAAACAAAATGTTTTCCAGTTTTTTTAACATTATCGGTATATCATTGGAAAATAATTTGCATAGTGCAAAATACCTAAATCGACAATTTATATATAGTGTACGAAAATAATTTTGTGGAGTCTGATACTAAACGGTGAAGTTTTACCAAAACGACTTCGCTCCGTCTTTCTATACGTCTATCGATCCGATTGTTTTTCTGTTTTGTTCTGTATTTTTAACTGCCTGTCAATGTATTTCAGTTTATCTGACTCTCTTTGACGAGGTTTGAATCATCGCACATGAAGGATATGACGGATGAAAAATATTTTTACAATTATAACAAATAATGCGAGAAAATGCATGCTGCATACCACTAGTTTTCTAATTGATTCTTTCTCTGTCTAATTTGATGTCGCTGAGTGTGCGTGTACAATGTAACTACACGGAAACAATTTGTTTCTGGAAATGAAAACATGGAAAAATGAAAAGAATGAATTGACATTTTATTAAAGAATTTTGAAATAATTTGGCATAATTGACAGGTACTAAAGAAGATAAATCCTGAAAATTTCTGATACATAATGAATGGTTTGAGTAACTCATGTAACATAGGATACAGGTTGCATATGTCTTTGAAATTATATTACGTAACTTTAGACAGACATCCAACCTGGTAATGTAACTTCACACACATTCAACCTGGTTCACTGAAACGTGAATTACCTCAGAAATCTCCGAACTACACGTAACACTAAAGAAGATTGTATTTTATTAGAATGAAAAACTTGACTGGGCTACTTAAAATTACTCATGAGAATCTATCCCTTAACTTTCAACGTCATTTTGGTGACTAATCGTCCTTCTTGTACATTTCATATTTCTCTAACTCCCTCGGGGGCCAAATTGTTATTGTTATTCAATATGTACTATTAATATATTAAGAAAAGCAAGAGAGCTTCATGAAATATAAAAATATTTAGAGTTTGCTTTATAGTAATATATACATATCATTGTGGTGATGAGAATATTGTCAACATAATGTAAACAAAATAACTCATTGAGATATACTTAAATTGTAATAGCAACGACATAATTTTAATAACGCTTTTCACTTTATTTCAAATGCTCATTAATACATATGAAAAGGATAGGAATGCTTAGGAACCGTGGGTAGGAATAAAAGCTATGGGATGGAATAAAGAAACATGTATTGAGACTCACCATTGACAATTTTTATTGTATTCTTTTATGCTGCGGGTAGATGGCTTAGAATATTCATGACTGCTAATGCTATTATCACATTAAAGGAAAAGTTGTAATGGAACTTTGAAAACAATCTTTATCAAAACTGATATTCTCGATCTAAATTAATGTGTATTAAAAATTAAGAGAAATTTATTTACCAAAAATTTATAAATTAGGTAAAAATAATTAAAAGTATGTAAAAATTTCATGTACCTCATCATCACTAAGATTAGTATATTACATTTCCAAATCTTATTTGAGCGATTATTGGAAACAATTATTCATATTATTTATGTTAGATACCATTGTACAAAAAGAAAAATAATACTTTATGTGTATTAGGATATAACAACGTCAAAGCTATCAACGTCTGCACATTGCGATCTTATAAATGATAAACCCCATAGTCAGGTGTATAGATAGTAGATCGTTCAGGAGTAATTGTTCTCTGGTCAACCGACAAATAATCTAGATCACCTGATACTTACTTACTTAATTTTACGCCACCTACTTCATTTTTATTGATAATGAGACGTATAGAAACAAGTGATCTTAACCCTCCTCTACTTCCGTCGTTTATAATAACGCTCCCATTTTAGCATCCCTAAAAGCAAAACTAAATAGTAAATCATGTTGAAAATACATATAAAATATTAACATAAAAATTTGGATTTAGCAGCGTTTAATTTTTAATATTAGCACTGTAAATGAAATTTCATTAATGGGTATGTTAATAAAATGCCTAGGAAATGATAAAATTTAATTTTTAATTTGAATCAGAATTGTTTATTTAATAATATAAGAAGGGAAGTACTTCTAGACATGCTCATTAAATAATTTTGAAACACTTTTAATAGCAAATAACTATGAGAAGAGTAAGTTACCAGATTTCTATCACTATTGTAACATTACTATTAACGGATTGTTTGACTAAGATTTAAAGAAGTGTCATTTTTGAGTTTCCCGAATTTGGTTCATAATCCTCCAGGGAATGAAATGAAAGAACTTCAAAAAGAGTGTTGTTTTCATGAATGCAAAAATGACTCACGTCACGAGACGACACGACACACGTCACTGGACCGTGCGGGAGAAACATACCCAGGTAGTTTAATCACGATCGAACAAAACTATGAAAAAAAAGTTTTGTAATGTGTTGACTCAAGGGCCTTATGAGAACTGGAGCAGTCAGACTCCTTTGCTTTAATGAATAACAGAAACTTTCTGCTCCAGGTAACTGTCTTTGTCGTCAACTCTTCCGCGTCGTGGAGACACCATAACCTCTCCAGGTGCCCTGTCGCCCCATCCACGTCGGAAGTGTTACGACCGGCTGACGGGTTCCGCGACGGACGCGGGGGCGGGGCGGGGAGGGCGGGCGCGGGCCGAGTGGGCGTATGGGCGGCTCCGATGGTATCGCCTCGCGTTTCTCAAAGCGCGGTAAGTAGCCCACTTGCCCAGTGGCCCGCGCGAACGCGACGCTGCGAGTTCAAGGTGGGCACGAGCTGTGAAGTTCATGCACTCCAAACGCCCACCGCCTCCTATCAGATGCCGAGGAAGTTTCAATTTAATGGCGTGTTCTGCCTCCAAACAATGGCCTGCCCATTTGTTCAGTGCCTCTCGAAAGGGTTTCTCATGCCGGGCAGCACTGGGATTACAACATCCTCAATGCATATTATTAAAAGATAAGGACAGTGCGCTTAAGGAACGTAAAAGCCTTTTCAAATATGCCAGTTTCCCTTTGTGTTATCTTCCTTTTCGTGCTCTGTACACGAATTGTGAGAAATCAGGGGGCATACAACGCTCGTTTAATTTTAAGAAACCTCATTACTTGGTATACACCAGCAATCTAATTTAGACAGTATCTTGCGACTATATGCACATTGAATTTATTTTTCCTTCTCATTTTCTTGAAATAATCGTTACTTCACAGTATAAAAGTATAATTATCCCTAATATTTGTATGTTTTGTATATAAAATAATGATTTTTTTTCAATAGGTATCATTACTTAATAAGTATATTAAATATTAATTCGAGTACATTTTCTGCAAAAACGAAGAAAAAAGAAGTCATTAAAACTGGAAAGAAAAAAACATTCATCGATGTTTTGAAATGTTACATTGTTCTGGAAACAAGTCTTTCCTCAATGAGACATTGAAAACATGCAAACTAATTTCTTTGGTGGGAGGGACGAAATAATGTGCAATTACGAGACATGTATTTTTCAGGAATGTATTTTTCCAGTTAAATATTTCTAAAGCTCATACAGATATATCATTTACATTTAAGAAAAAAGTTTTTGTAGAGAATGTTCTGTGTGTATTAATATTTGTGAAAAATGTGACGTTATATTTGCTCCTGCAAATATGTATTAAATGACGTGAAATAGTCGAATATGTTTAATGTATATTGCGTGAGACTGTTAAAATTAAAACTTCGGTAATATAAGAGTAATATAATAAATCACTTCCTTTGTATTTATGACAAGTGTTGCATTGATACAATTTTACAAGTTCTAATATTAAAGATTAAGATATGTTATCAACGTTTTTGGTTACTAATTGACTTGAAGTTTTAATATAATTTAACATCAATTTTAATCATTAGGTAAGCTAAAGTGAGACCATTATTCTAAATCAGCGAAGTAAAGGGAAGACGGAGTGAAGCATTAAGAAATGTTGGAGGATGAGGCGGAGAAGAAAACTAGAAGATTGATTGGTGTTTCCAGGGACGACAACTTCTATGGTCATTAGTTCCATTAGTGTAGAAAATATTCCCTCTCCAGGTATCTATCCCAAGCAGAGCACTGCCTCTGCTGGGAGTTCCCGCCAGGACTCCCCACATGTGTAGAAGTGCCGTGCATGTTATGTGGGTGTGTGTGGGTGCTGTGTGTGCGTGTGTTGCGTGGTGTGTGCGTGTGTGTGCTGGTGTGTGTGTGCGCGTGTGTTGTGCGCGTGATGTGTGCGCGTGTGTGTGTGCCGTGTGTGTGTGTGTGTGTAGGTTGTGTGGCGTGGGCTGGGGTGGGTGGGTGTGTGTGGTCACTGTGTGTGGGTGTGTGTGTGTGCGCGTGTGTGTGTGCGCGTGTGTGTGTGCGTGTGTGTGGTGTGCTTCCGTGTGTGTGTGTGTGCGTGTGTGTGTGTGTTGGGCGTGTTGGGTGGGGTGGGTTGGGTGTGGGTGTGTGTGGGTGTGGGTGTGTGGGGTGTTGTGGGTGTGTGTGGGTTGTGTGTGGGTGTGTGTGGGTGTGTTGGTGAGTCGTGCGGTGGTTGTGGTTGTGGTGTGTGCGTGTGTGGTGTGTGTTGCCACATCGTGTGTGGGTGTGTCGTGTGCGTGTGTGTCGTGTGTGGGTGTGTGTGTGCATGTGTGGTGTGTGTGGGTGTGTTGGTGGCGTGTTGTGGGTTGTGTGTGGTGTGTGTGGGGGTTGGGTGTGTGTGGGTGGGTGTTTGCGTGTGTGTGCGTGTGTTGTGTGCGTGTGTGGCGTGTGTGTTGCGTGTGTGTGCGTGTGTGGGTGTGTTGTGGGTGTGGGTGTTGGTGTGTTGCGTTGTGGGTTGTGTGGTGTGTGTGTGGTGTTGTGTGTGGGTGTGTGTGTGGTTGTGTGGTGTGGTGTTTGTGGGTGTGTATCTGGGGTGGGGTTTGTGGGTTTGGGTGGGGTGTGGGTGTGGGGTGTGTGTGGGGTGTGGTGTGTGTGGTGTGTTGTGGGTGTGTGTTGGGTGTGTGGGGTGTGTGTGGGTGTGGTGTGGGTGTGTGTGCGGTGAATGTGTGTGCGGGTGTGGGTGTGTGTGTGCGTTGTGTGGGTGTTTGTGTGCGTGTGTGTGCGTGTGTGGGTGTGTGTGTGCGTGGTGTGGGTGTTGTGGGTGTGTGGGTGTGTGTGGGTGTGTTGGGTGTTGGGGTGTGTGTGGTGAGGTGTGGGTGTGTGTGGGGTGGGTGTGTGTGGGTGGGGTGTGTGCTGTGTGTGCGTAGTGGTGTGTGCGTGTGTGTTGCGGTGTGTGCGTGTGTGTGCGTGCTCTGTGGTGTGATGTGCGACTGTAGTCTTGAGGTGTGGGTGGGTGTGCCGAGTGTTTGGACATGCTTACGGTCTAAGACATATATAATAGATGAATAAGAGTAGAATATGCTTATGACGTGGGTGTGTGTGCTGGGTGTGTGTGTGCAGTGTGTGTGTGGGTGTGTGTGTGTGTTTGTGCGGTGTGTATGTTGTGGGGTGTGAGGTGGGTGGGTGTGTGTGTGTAGGGAAGTGAGGAAGAGTCTGAGTCTGAGTGGAATCGCAGGTGAGCGTAGAGGAAATTGCGAGACTGGCGCCGGCGGGAACCGTGGCAGGAAGCGTTGGGGGCGTGCGCAGGGAGGCAGCCAGCGACCGGACCGTTTGGACGGCCCGCGAGAACGCGCGAATCGGGCAGCGCCGCCAGCCGTATAAGGGCGCGTGGCCGGCACCCACTGTTCCTAAAGAGGCCCCGCGCGCATTCGACAGACTGACGGACCCCAAGACCCCCTTCCGGATTCTTTTCCATTCTGAACCTCTTTTATTTATATCGTTAGGAATGTTCTTAAGGTTCGGCCAGTAAAAAACCATGATTTAAATTGCCAACGTTTCGGCTTTTATAAAGCCTTAGGCAGGGTACTTTTAGTCGGTATCTGTGGGACCTATCCACCACTCTCACAGCTCATCCTTGCCACATGTTCCTTTCTGCACTTCCTGACTTTATTTATATAATTAAGTCGAAAGTTTTGCAACGCGTTCATGCTTTAAAAAAAGAACAAAATGAACACAACAAAGAAGCAAAGAGTAAATGGGATGATTATGGCATTCCCATTGGGACAAATTATTTCACTTTCTGTGGTGTGTGGCTGTCACTGAACCCTTTTAAAGGCCGGACATTGGTTTTATATTTACTGTAATAATTACTTTGTATTATTAATTAATATTCAATACGCCAACCTAGGTGGTGGAGGCAACTAGAGCGTGTGCCGACTCACTACCTCGGTCTAAAGGGTCGCAGGTTCCAGTCTCGCCGTGGGTGTGGTTGATTGCTTCTTGTCGTTCATGCGTGTGTGATGTCGCGGATAGCCTTTTGAGTCTACTGACTACAGACCGAGGAGCACGCAAGTGTGTCAGTGTCTTGTGTAAAGGCTAATATGAGTTTCCATGAGGAACATATTGGGTACCCGGTGCGGATAGCCGAAATCAGCATCTCCTGAAGCCTCTGAAGGAAAAGGTCTATGAAGAAAAAAATAATATTCAATATATTATTACTTCATATGTATTAATTAATGTCACTTAAAGATTTATTAACTGTTTTTAATAAATGTAGTTGTTGTCCTCTGTGAACATACGTCAGGGCTAGGAGGCGGCCGTGGGGGAGAGGGCGGGTTCGGAGACAACCGTGGAAGCGGGGGCGGCTGCCTAGAGCGCGTGATTTGGGCAGCTCCGTATAAGGCCGCCTCCTCCCTTAACGAGGGCCCGGGGATCCCCGAGTCGAACCGCCGCTCGAGGCCTCCGGCGCAGCCGACGCTGTTCCGGATTGTTCCCGAGCCGACGCGCCGTTTTTCGATTCCGGCGCCATTTCCATTTTCTACCTGCGCCAGCGCCAGCGGGCGGCGCTCGTATACCTGTCACAAGAAACAAGCGCCTCATTTGTGCATTCCTCGCCGATCTCCTCTAAGTGGACGCGATGTCGGATGTGCGGGCCCCCCGAAATAGCCTGGCGCCCGCGACCTAACGCGGGCCGCTCGACGGGAATGTTTGGCGTCGCCGGTGGCGCGTTTCGGGGTCGCGCTAATTATTTCTGCGAACGGTACTTTCGGCGGCTGTGGGAGATCGGGTCGCATCGCATTGGCGTGGAGGGTCGATGCAACGTCCTTGCTAATAGGCTGCGTCGTCGCGATTTCTGGGGTCTCCTTGTTCTTTATCTTGTGACAGATTCCTGGACGTGGCGGGGGACTTTCCTGTTAGAATCCTGCTTCTTCGAGGAAACGTTGAGTTTTGCCAGACAGGAAATGGGATAACTTGTTTGTGCATCGTCTGGAAAAAAAATTGAGTGAATTGAATGATTTTTCCAAGTAGTCTTCAGCTTCTCCTCCTCTGTTTTTCTTGGTAGTTTTTTTTCATCATATCTGTCATTTCTCTCGCATAAAAGTAATCCTTTAAAATTATGCATTTTCCTTCCTCTTTTTTCCTTTTCCTTTTCTTCTTCTTCTTCTTCTTCTTCTTCTTAATTTTCTGACTTCAGACAACTTTTTCTCTTAAGATCGTAAATTTATTGGGAAGTTTTGTTGGTGAATTTCGTTGAATTTTTAAATGTTAATATCTATTCTTTATCACAAAAAACATTAGTTTTCTATGATTATTGCAGGTACATTTAATCAAATATAACTAAATGTAGCAAAACTCTTACAGGCGTGTAAAGTCATTTGAATGAATTCCCTCGTTTAAAATTGTGTGGTTATTTGTACCAAACAAAGACATGTAGAAATGAGCAACACATTTGATGAAAAGAAACGAACCACGGTAATAAACAAGTAATGGAAACGACGACTTCGGTTCAAAGAAAGTTTTTATAAATGTGTAATATCTCTTTTTCAGTCTTTAGAATGAGTGAGACAAAGATATCCCTTACGTTTCGTAACTTTGTACACAGTGTGAAACTCCCTAGTACGAACCTTGTACAATGTGCGTGCATATGCACATGATTATGTAAATAGTTGTTATATATAATTTTATACATTAATGTGTATACTGTTTTATACATGTGTGTGTGTTTGCTCCAAAATATAAATATCGTCAAATAAAATTAATATATTTTTAAGTATTTCTTTAATTTCCAAACATACCCATGTGATTTAAAGATGAAACAAACATTTTTTAATCATCAGACTTTAGTGTTTTTTACACGTTTTGATTGTTTTTGTAGCGCTATCTAGCGGGAAAGGATTAAGACCACCTGCAACACTGCTCACAACGACCCTCTATCGAATGCCTCGCTGGTACTCCCTCGTCTATCACATAAGAGCCGTTCGCGCCACCCCTTTGCGACCAATAGGACGAGCCCCAAATTCCACGGCCCCCTGACCCATTCGCATGGCTGTTGCACTGTCCGAGGCGCCATTCGGATGTAATGCAATAGTGAGCATAAATGTGTGACGACCCCAGGCACCTACGCCGCACAGAAATGGAAGGAAGGAAGGAAAAATATGGTGGAGAGAGAACCTCATGCCACTACAAACCCATGCTCCTGGCAGGATTCACACCTGTGACCTTTCGAAAGGAGACTTCTATGGCGCGTTAGGTGTAGCTTTTTAGGCTTCTCAGGTCGGCTATTTACTCTTTGTGATTTTACAATTAAAATACCAAATATTTGGATGGATTTCAATCGAAATTTTTGTAT